TTATGGGTTTGGGGTTACCAGGGCCAGAGAGGATCCTCGGAATGGGGTGGAAGGGATGGAGTTGAATGAGGAGGAATAACTCATGGGAGGGCTGAGTTTGGTCCTGTTTTTCTCAGTGCTGTGAAAATCCATCCCAGAATTGAGAGTTCTCAGAGGCAGAGAAGGGATTTTGCTGAGTTAGGTCCTGGTCACCCCCTCCCGGCCTCTCCTGTGAGGGCTCAGTGCCCACAAAATCCACCTGCAAAACTCCAGCTTTTCTCACCCCTCTGAAAAAAACAGGAATTCCAGAAAATCTGTGACTTCAGGAAAATAAATCCCTAAAGGAATGTTGCCTCAGCCTCCCGTGCAGATCACCTCAGTTGTGGTGTCCCCCTGCTGCATTCCAGGGCTCAGATCCTGGAACGATCCCATAAAATCGAGGAGAGGGAGCTGCAGGGCTGTAATTGCTTCGCTGGTGTTTTATTTTATGGGTTCCTCGCCTGGGAGCAGATGAGCAATTCCCCCTCAGCTCAGCTCTGACAGAACCTCAGCAGCTCRGGGTTTGGAGCAGGGAGACAAAAGAGCTCTGCCCATAAACCTTTCTGTAATTAAAGCCCGGCTTTATCGCCGTGTTCAGGGTTATCTGGACATATGGGGAGGTTTTTTGGGGAGAGCTGTGCCCCACAGGGCACAGGGAACCCTCCCAAATCTCYTCTGGTGAACTTCCCTGCTTTTCTTAACCCCCGTTAATTAATGTTTTTAACGTAATTTAATGCGAAATTACAGCGATTGTCTCGTTAGGAGGGAGAGCAACCCCATAACTCTGGAACTGATAATGCTGGGCCCCCCAAATATAAAGTGCTCTTATCTCAAATCTTTAATTACTGTAATTACCTCGCCTTGTTTGTTAGGAAATGAAGGGAAAATGTTTGGCGGTTGCTGGGCAGGGATCCCCAGCTTGCCATGGCTGCGCTCTCAGTTTGACTGAAGGTCTCTTGTTGGAGCTTTATTCCCTTGGAGTAGGGCAGGATTCTGCCTGGCTGGGTTAAAAACTCCTTGTTGTTTTTCCTTT